GCCTTGTGCGGTACTACTGGTACAATACAACATTATTCCAGATTATTGGTTAGGAAGCGGGATTCCGGGTGAAACGAACGTCGCAATTTGGAAGTCTGCCAACAAAACGGAGGCAATCGCGTCATCAGGGCTGAAACAAGGTAACATGTGTAACATGAGGCTTTATGTGCCGACGGGACTTGTCGGTTGCGAGAATGGTTCGTTTTGGACAGGAATGCCAAGTTGATTAACTTTGGCCTGGCGAAGGCCGGCTTTGTCAGCAGCAAGATGGAAGGGCCGTTTTTGGCTATATATCCATGGTCCATAGTTATAGAAATTCTTTCCCACGAAGTTATTGTCGTTTTACCCATTCTGGATTCAAATTCAAAAATTGGTCATTGGATTGGTACGTCGAGGCTTCACTTTGGCACAAACCATGGCGAACCTTGGCCCCCCAAGACATCCTGAGTTTGCCAAATGACAAGATTATTTCGACCAGTCCTGAAGAAGTCACTCTGCTGCTGTTCGACTGGCTGCGTGGCAGGAGGATGGAGATGGCCCAGAAAACCATCTTTCTGGTTCTCTCCTCAGCTCCTTTTTGTCGCTGTTGGCTTTGCTGTTGTCGAACCCCGTGGTGACTTTGGAGCATCATGATGCTTTGTTGCTCTCTTGCAGGGCATATCTCCATATCCAAAGTAAGTCAAGGTCCAGGATTAACTGAATCCGAGCCCTCTGTCACAGACTTTTTTCGAGGCTCTGTTGGCTTCATGGCTCCGGAGGCTTTCCGGGCAATTGTTACTTTTGTTGAGAGGAACGTAGCGCAAGTCTGTTTTTTAAACGTTTGTTTCCTAGAGAATGGTGACGCCCAAAGCGAAGGAATCTATTTCAAGTTGCTTTGTTTGACTTGGGCATGGGCCAAACATAGTGACCCCCAAAGTGGACGATTGAATGATTAGTCTCTCGGACCGCAAAACGTGAACACACCACCAGGGTGAAGGATTTTGGGGGGGTCGGGGGCAGGGGCGCGCGCTTGCATATTTCAAAGCTAGCGGTAGCTAAACACACCTACCATGGCGAGGCGTTGAAGCTATTGAATGAGGACCTTCTTCAGAAATATATTCCTTATGCTTTTTTGAACATATTCATGGAATCATGGAATTGGAACTTTGTTGGAAAAATCGGCGGTTTTTGATTGGAGCAAGTGGGGAAGGCTTGTTCCCGAAATCTCCTGCGAAGGTTTTTTCCTAAAGAATTGCTTCCAAATTCAACCTTCCACTTCGTGTAAAAGCGCCTCGGTGTAAAGATTTCTCTGTGTAAAAAACTTCTGTGTGTAAACGCGCCTGTGTGTAAAAGCTTCTCTGTGTAAAGACTTCTCTGTGGAAAAGTTTCTGTGTGTAAACGCGCCTGTGTGCTAAAGCTCTCTGTGTAAAGACTTCTTTGTGTAACAGCGTCTGTGTGTAATATCTTCTGTGTGGCGCGCTCCCCCCTGCGTCGGCTGGGGTCGGCGGATAATTGGAGATATCATATGTATGATTGGGCAAACCGACCTTGGCTGTAGCCGCCAATCAAAAAACCCTTGGACGCACTATGTCGCTATAAGATAGTTGGACAGGGCCAAAACTACATATTGCGTAGGGAACTCACCAGTAAACATTTTTTTCCTTTGCGCTTGCGCAGATCATGCTGGATTTTTTGGGTCAGCAAGTATGTTGGTTTGATCAGCAAGGATAGGGGTTGGACTGGCAATCTTCGATGTTGTTTTCATCGGCAAAGATCGAGAGACGACCCTCCGGCAATTTGTTACATAGCCAGGGACCACTGGACTATTCAAATGATCTGCCTATGACAACTGCTGATTTTTCACAGCTATGTTGCATTACATTGAATTACCATAGGGTATGCTCACAGGATTTAACTCGTCTGCCTATTTCTCCAATTAGGGATCATCCACTCAAATGTGGATTTAGCTGTCCAAGACGGAGATTCACCATCGGAGAGACCAAACAACAGCATTTTTGTCATTGAGGGATATGAAGTAATTTCTGACGATTTGGGGGATGCTAATTCCCGCAAATATTGAGAAATGTTGTTTCTTTCTATTGGATACTTGATGAATCATCCTACTTAGAAGGACATGCTCAACTCGGCCAGTCCGTCCCTGTTAAAGTGGGCCTCCCAGTCATAAGTTGTCTTTTCAAGTCACGCATTCAACGACACCCCTCATACATCCAACGCTTATTAGAGTGCAACTTAGCAACTTATCAACCACCAAAACCATCATTTCTCTTGGTTAAATCCGACTTTTTGTTGGGTTTGAAGAACGATTTCTTGGGGGTTTCTGCTGGTTTTCCCTTCGGCATCCTTCGATTTCCGCAGGCTTGACAGATGCGCTGATTGAGGAACAAGCCTTCAGGCTGGAGACTGGGTCTTGGTTTCCCTATCATAATGGGATATTACGGGAATATCATTAGACTGGACAATGCTTGTTAGTAAGACTAAATTGGGGGCTAACATCATACTCATTCCTCATATTATAGGGAGTAATATAATGTTATACCAGTAGTACCGCGCAACGCGGTGGCGGAAGTTCAGGGTAGGACACTATAGGAGAGGTGAGTTGTTGTGATGCATGGATGGCAGAGCAAAGTCACTGATGGACCGAAAGGTGGTTGGAGTTGTAGTGTTTGGAATGGATGGTTGCAGTGGTCACCTCACCCACAACTGCTGGATGTAGTGTGGTGTAGTGCAGTTGTAGTTGTAGTTGTAGAGTAGTGTAATGGAGTTGTAGTTGTAGTGTAGTGTAATTAGTGTAGTGTAGTTGTAGTTGCACTTGCGGTTGTAGTTGTGGGGTGTTGTAATTAGTGCAGTGTAATGTAGTGTAGTGTAGTGTATTGTGGTGTAGCGTATGGTAGTGTAGTATAGTGTAGTGTAGTGTAGTCTAGTGTAGTGTAGTCTAGTGTAGTGTAGTCTAGTGTAGTGTGAAGTAGTGCAGCTGTAGTTGTAGCGGTAGTTGTAGTTGTAGTGTAATTAGTGTAGCGTAGTGTAATGTAATGTAGTTGTAGTGTAGTGTAGTGTGTTGTGGTGTGGTGTCGTGTAGTGTAGTGCAGTGTAGTGTAGTGTAATTGGTGTAGCGTAGTTTTGTGTAATGCAATTGCAATTGTAGTTGCAGTTGTCGTTGTAGTTGTAGTTGTAGCGTATTGTAGTGTAATTAGCGTAGTGTAGTGTAGCGTAGTGTGGTGTAGTGTAGTGTTGTATTTGCATTTGTATTTGCATTTGTATTTGTATTTGTATTGTAGTTGTAGTAATGTTGTAGTTGTAGTAGTGTAGCATAGTGTAGTGTTATCTGCAAGCTTGAAAACGAAACTATTCTGCGAGAGTTCCTTCATTTTCGAAGTTGACAGCGTCAAAAACGCACCAGCTCTGCGAGACTTCCTCAACTTTTGAACTTGATAACGTCAAAAACGAAGCAATTCTGCGAGACGTCCTCAATTGTTGAAGTTGACGACATCAAAAACGAAGAAATTCTGTGAGACTTCCTTCAGCCTGCCACGAAAAAGTGATGCCAGGTCATACGATGTGCTGCACCTGTCACGCAAAATCATCTTCCCACAACTGAAGATCTGATGCTCCAAACTGCAACCCCTCTCAGGAAATCAGCGCCCGGACCTCGTAACATCTCTGATGAACATGTCTCTTGTATTGCGCCTGCCACGAACATGCATCTTTGCAGATCCTCTTCAAATGTCCCACGCCTGCCAATGCTTTTGAAACTGCTACCAAACCTTCATGTTTTGCTCATTTTTGACAAGGTGCAGAATCCCTTGTGCCGGCAACGCGAAACGACATCTGAACGTCCAAAAGTGGTCCGAACATCTGGTGTTTTAACATTTTGATTTGGCAATGTGCTTCGCGCCACAATACACTTTTTCAACATCTCAACTTCCAAGAGTGCTCCGAAGCTGGTGTGTGAGTGTGTTGTAGGTTTTGACTTCGAAAGGTGCTTCGCACCACAGTGGTGTCCACTTTTTCGACATGTCAACTTCCAAAAGTAGTCCGACACTGAGGTGTTTCGTGTCATTTGACTTCGAAATGTGCTTCGCGCGTGCACTTTTTCGATGTGTCAACTTCCAAACATGGTCCGACACTCAGAGGTGTTTTGTTCATTTTGACTTCGAAATGTGCTGTGGGCCACAACGGCGTGCAACTTTTCATCTCTCATCTGGCCAGATGGCTCTGCACCCGCCGCTTTAGCGAGCCTACTTTTCGGCTCTCCCGAGCCACAAATCATTGGAAAAACACAGTGTTTCGCGGCTTGTCTACCTTTTCGCGCACCTGCATCTTCTTTCTTCTGACTCTTTACCTTCTCTGATCTTGTCGCTTCTTCTCTTCTCTTCTCTGACTCTTTCCACCTCTGCTTTTCCATTTGTCCATATTGTCGGAAGTTTGACTTCTAAACTTCCTTCGCCTGCTCAACATTGATTAATATAGGGAATAGAGAGTGGTACTATTCAACAGATTGGAACAAAGGGTTTTGAACCCTGCTAACCCTGCTCGTTGTTTTTTTGTTCATCACGTAAAATCAGATCAAATCATCGTTGAAATTAAAACATTTTCATGAAATTGCGGTCTAAATCCACTTGAATGCACATTTTTAGCCCATCATTCTTGTATTGATATGGTATCCCCAAACAAAAACAACGGCCAGGCAGGAGTTTGAAGAAGCAGTACGTGCAGAGATCAAACACGTTTCCTGGCATTCAAGTTTCCTGTTGAAACTGTATTTTCTTTGGGCAAATCTTGGGCCTGGGTAGTTTCTTGCAACCTTATTTTTGCAATTTTTATGATGCAATCCACAAACCAGCTAGAGATAATTTTTTAGGCCTGTGGCACCATTTGAAACCCTGAAGCCGAGCCTTCGTTGTTAACGGCAAATGTTGGCGTTCCATACCATCTATTTGTTTACCCGTGGATCCCGTCCGCCCGCTGTGCCAATTCGCCTTTCAACATATTTTCCCATCTATATGATTCTATATGCAGTATTTCACACAAAGGGATCGGTAAAAACATTTTGAAAACAGTGACACCACATATTTTGGTCTATTCTAGTACATGAGCTCTTGACTTCAACCTTTACCACCATTTCTTGGGACCATACCCAAACATGGCCCCAAGAAGCCGCCCATGAACGCTAGGAATGCGATGGGGTGACGTTGCACTTGAAAAAACGTATGGATCAACTGGAGCTGAAATTGCGCGAACACCTGGATGATTCGCTGCAGTCCATCGAATCCAGGGTCTCGCAAGACTTTCAGGCGGGAGATGTTTTTGTTTTGGTGAGCCAGAAAAACATAAAACACATGGATTATATAGTAATAAGTGTATATATATATATATATGTGTGTGTGTGTTTTTATGCGCAGCACTATCCACACATATAGATAGAATAGAATAGAATAGATTAGAATAGAATAGAGTAGAGTAGAGTAGAATAGATAGATAGATAGATTGGATCCATAAGATAGATAGATAGATTGGATCGATAAGATAGATAGATGGATTGGATCGATAAGATAGATCGATAGATTGGATCGATAAGATAGATAGATAGATAGATCGATAGATAGATTAGATTAGATTAGATTAGATTAGATTAGATAGATTAGATAGATTGGATGGATGGATGGATGGATGGATGGATAGATAGATAGATAGATAGAGGTATATTTAGATTATTTTATATTGGGTTTAAACTATACACAATCACAAGAGTCGAGTTCTGAGTTCATATGTTTTATTTATGTTTATGTTGGAAGCAAACGCGTATCGCATTTTCCGGCCATATATCTGATTATATGGAAACAAGTTGATGGGTCTTATGCCCAGTTCTTCCATTGTATAGGTATATTCATTTTTTGGGTTGGTTAATTCCCACAGTGTGTGTTGCTTTTACAATCTTTTACACCCCCCACAGCACTGCTAGACCGGATTTTTTTCAGTCGAGCAGTGGCTGCTAAAATTTAAAGGCTTGTTGGTTGATCTACCCTGCAATCAAACGTGGTTTGCTGGAAAATCGCCCATTTAGTTCAACGATTTTCCCATTGACACATCATTAAAAGTAGGATTTTCAATTGAGTAGCGTTTTTTTGTTTCCTGGAGGCAGGAAAATAGATAAAGTGGATTAAAGTGGAACTCCACAAGACGTATTATGCCCCAGGCGTAGGCTCCCATGCAGACGGCGTAGGTTGCGTAGGCATTGGCGTAGGCTCGTTTTATCCTACACGGCGCAGTCTTTGTGTAGACACTCGTTGGCAACAGTTAGAACTCATTCAGTTTGCCTTGGTTAGCTGTGATATCTGCGGTTTGTGGTTCCAAAGCCTCATGCCACAATCGAAGACCAAAAGAACTCATGGCTGTTTAGGCAAAGCCTACACCGCGTAGGCTCGCGCAGGCACCCCTTAAAAACATTTAAAAACCATATCCCGCGTAGTCTACCACATGCAATGGCATATGCTCTGCGTAGGCAGTTGCGTAGGTTATATGTTACTGGTCATCGAAAGACAGGGGTAATAAATTACTACCCATTTAGACTCATTTGCCACATTTGACCAGAGGGTGGGGATGATCATATCATAATCCGCGAGCTTGGCATCCCGTTCTTAGCCAACGAATATTTCAATTCCATGTTGAGTAAATCCATAAATATCCTCAGATTGTTGATGATATTCCCCCTATATCCTAGTGAATACCAAGCATACCCCGTGATATCCTCTATTGTTTTTTCCTTTCCACAACTATGATTGGTATACATTCCATGATATCCCCATGATATTCCATAGATATACACATCTTCAATGTATTCCCATGATATTGCCATTGTTGATGATACTCCCAGTACATACCCTACAGGATGGGGCCCCAAGATAGCTAAGTTGAGATATAAGTGGTTTAACTATGGTTTATGGTAGATATAACTGCAATTAATGGAGGTTAATAAACCAACTTATACGTGGGGGGCGCCATCCTGTCCCCCATCCTATTCCCATGACATCCCAATCTTTTCCCAATCGCCCAGGACCTCTGGCAATGGACCAGCGACGAGTGCCGTCAGTCCAACGAACGCCTGAAGGACTTGGAACAAAGGGTGCCCTGGATCACCGGGGATGTCCATCTGAAATTGGCGATTGAACTGGTTCTCTTTCAGATTTGAAGACATTGATAGTAGTCACCTCGAAAATTCTGTTTTAGTTTGGGATCCCCAAAAATGATGGAGCCTACTAGTATTTAGTTATTGGGGGATGGGATTATGAACCATGACCAAGAAAAGTTACGGGATGTTGACGCAAACATTGGGATTTCATTGCAATCTAACCAACATTAGAAGGATTCCAGTTGTATTCAAAGAAGGGATTTGACTATGCATGTAATCATCATGTCATCTAGAATCATGGTAGCTAAAGATCGACTTCTTTCAAAGAGGGGTACCCCATCTAAGTCAATATACCATAGATCCACAGAAATCCATCAGCTAGTGAAACACACCAACTTTGCAAACTTTCACTGATAAGTCCCCATTTTCTCCATTTTTCTCGTATTTTCTCCTATATTTTTGCTGGTTAAGTTCCGAAAAAAAAACACAGGAAGTCCAGTCCCCCGATCACCGGGCGCGCCGAGGTGATTTGCTCCAGTGCCACAGCGCGCGAGGCCTCGGTGAGCGTTTCGGCCCTGCGTTCGGCACGGCTGGAGGTGGTGGAAGATGGTGGGGTTGAGCGTTGGGGAAAACCAAGAAGAAAGCCATGAAATCCATTTTTCAATCCCCTCTTTTACCATGGAGGTTTCCATGGGAAATTCATCAGACCTGTATCTTGCTGGTGCATATGTTTTACCGTGGGGTGTTCACTAACCAGCAGATGTGGATATGATAAGTTTTCCTATGGTTTCTCTAGGAAAATGATCTAGTTGATTCATCCTGGATTTTCCACGAATCTATCTTAGTTTACAGGAGGATTTTGTGGGGAATATCAACAATTGAAAGATCATAGTTGAATATTCCAAAGAAGATATAATGGGAATAGAAAATCAGCACTGGAAATCTACCCTCTGGTCAGTGGACATGGCTATGGAAAATGACCCATTTATAGATGATAAACATGATGATTTACCAATCATGGGAATAGGATGGGGACATATAGGGTATACAATGGGAATGTCATCAACAATGGACATATCATGGGAATACATTGGTATATAATGGTAAATATATATAAATATGGTATATAATTCAGGTTAGTGACATATTATGATTTATATACCCAGATAATATACCGAAAATATCCAATATCAACGCACCAGTCCTCTGTAAACGCGCGCCGCCAGAAGGTTAGCCCAGCCTGTAATGGCGCTCTCAGGTCTTTTTTTTCCTCCATGTCTGCCATTCAAAGTAACTTCATTGCCAAGGCCATTCGTGATCCTTTTGAATATCAAAGAAGGTCTTTTCAAGATACAGCGGATGTTACAACGTATCTAGCATCAAGGAGCTGTAGTTACTCCAAAAGTATGCTACAACGTAGCATCAAGAGGTCTTGGAAGTTACTTGAGAAAGAATGTTACAACATAGCATCAAGAGCCTCCTGAAAAATGCTTGAAAAGGATATTACAACGTAGCATCAAGAGCCTCCTGGAAGTTGCTTGAAAAGGATGTTACAACGTAGCATCAAGAGCCTCCTGGAAGTTGCTTGAAAAGGATGTTACAGCATAGCATCAAGAGCGAATTGGAAGTTGCTGGACAAAGTTCACCAGACGCCTGGGATCCATGCAAGAACGAAAACGCCGCAACCGTCTGGCCAAACTGGCTCGGTTGCATCAGCTCCTCACCGACAGACCAGGAGACAGAGAAATCCACTGTCTTCGCAGAAAGCTCCACTTGGATGCCACGGATGCCTCCACCTCGGATCTCTTCCTCCAAGTCCAACAGGAGATTGGGAGACTCCGTACCCAAATCTGCCAAGAAGATCAGGAAACAAAGCGTGTTGCCATCCAGAAATGGCGGCAAGACATGAGACACAATTTGACGGCAAGATATAAGTGGATTCGCAGAGGCCAGGAATGTCCACACCTACCTACTCTGGCATCCAATGGTGAAACCTTCCTCGGCGATGAGAAATCCATTGCGGCCATTACAAACCATTGGCGATCAACTTGGAATGCGGCGAGACATCGAGCCCAACTCTCACTGCCTCAACAGCTTAACGGCGCAGGAGCTTCTTCAACCACTGCACCACGATTATGCGGGCACGCGCCCTACAATGGCGGACCTGATCAAGGCGGTCAAACGCCTGCATGGTGCTCCAGGACCGGATCAGTGGACCTGTTTGGAAATCCGTGTTTTACCCCTAAACTGCCTTAAGACTTTCCATTTCATTACGGAAAGATGGGAAATCTACGGCCAAACGCCTCAGGCTATTCAGGACAGCAAGCAGGTCAATTTACCTAAGGCTAACAAAGTTTCTGAGGACCCTTTCTTGGATCCCAAAAACACCAGACCTATTAACATTTACTCTTGTTGGTATCGGCTTTTTGCCTCGATGTGGGCCCAATCCGACAACATGAAACAGTGGTACAAGGAAACCTTGCCCTCCTCAATTCTTGGAGGCCCAGAAACAAAAGGAGCTGACATGGTCACTTCGGAGCTTCATGATTTGTTGCACATCGAAGGTTTCTTTGCCACGTTGGACCTCTCCCAAGCCTTTGACAACATTCAAGCGGAAGTTGCGACCACTTCCATGAGAACCTTGGGAATCCCTCCCCGGCTCACCGGGGTCTTGCGTCACCAATGGCTCCACCAACGAAGATGGATGACATGGAACAGATGCGTCTCTGAGACAGAGGTCAACACAGATATCGGGATCCCACAGGGAGATCCCCTTTCACCTTTGGCCATGAACTGTGTTATGACTTTGGGGGTGAAAAGCGTTGAAAGGGACCTGTCTCCGGTTGTTCCCAGGCACTTCGTTTGGATGGATGACCGTAGTTTCATCCTTAGAAACCCCCGGCACCTTGTTCAAACTTGTGACAGTTGGTTCAGGTTCTCTTCTAACTTTGGTTTCAGAGAGAACGAACAAAAGGCCCAGCTGGTGGCAGCCACCAGCCACCGGGAAAACAAACTGAGGGAATGCTTACTTGATCACGATCTGCTTCCTAGAATCCTTCCATATGCTGAGGTTCTCGGTAGCCATGTGGGAAAGTTGACAAGGTCACTCAGGCCTCTGGAATCCCAAAGAGTTTCCTTAGCAAAGCTGGTGGCTCAAAGAATTGCCTTGTTACCACTCCCTCGGGTGGCCAAACTTGAAACATGTCGGGCGACCGTCCTTAGCAGAGCTGCATATGGATGGACCGGTAAGAGACCTACTAAGGAACTCAGCAAATCACTGGACCAGGCGGTCCACAAAGCCTGTGGAGGCTTTAAACAGTCACCTCCGGCACTGTCACTGCGAAGACTCCTTGAGGGGGGCACTACAGTGTTGGAACCGGTTGTGGGAACACGACAGCTCATGTTGTGGCTTAGACGCATAGTGCGCCCTGAGGACACGGCCTGCCGGTCTGACAATTCCCACGCTGCTCGTTTGGCTAAAGAGTGGCTCAAATTCACAGGTTGGACTGAATGTGTGCATGCCCGTTTGGGTAAGCGCTGGACTCATTCGAAACTTCCGAACCAAAGTATCCTCGTGCCAGCCATTGGGGATGACATCGATGCTAAACAAATTTGTCATTTGTCGAGGGAAGCATGGCGAATTGAACAGTGGAAGTTACTGCGTGCCAGCGGCCGCAGAGAGCTTCCGGACATTCCTATTGATTATCCGCCTGGGCGTGTCCAGGCCACAAGGGACTGGTTGAAAACGGCCACAGGCGCCAGTAGGACCATTCTGCTAGGTGCTGCGGTTTCACCTGCGACTCTGCATCGACAAGCTCCGGGCAACCTTTGCACCTGGGGTTGTGGTCATTTGGGTCATTGGAAACACATCATTTGGGAATGCCCATTAAGACCTATCAAACCTGAGCATGTGCCAGTTGATGATTTACAAGCTCGTTGGCTCTGGCCTACTGAGGAACGATCCACTAAGGACTCCAAACTCTTGGATTTTGCTAAGGCTTTACTTGAGGCACTGTGGCAGCAACGCCACCACCCAGCGGCGGCAGCGGCAGCGGCGGCTTCTCAGGAGGCAGTCACGGCGCTGTAGCAGCTGGCACATCTTCTCCGCTGCATCTGGCTTTACCGCGGTTTGCAGCCCTCAACCGAATCGATTCACAACGTGTTAACAGGAACGTAAGGCAGAAGAACGTCATTCCCCCAACCCCTCTCCCAGCCCCCGCCTCAAAAACGTGACAGGCATGGCTCAAAATGAGGATAACATTGCTGTTACAGGGGGCAATGGATCGCCCTGTCCGCGCGTTTGCAAGAGACTGGGGCCAATAACAGTGGGATAACGGGTAATAGGGGATATCTTGGGCATATTTTAGGATTGGAAGAATCCTTTTCGGGGTTGTTTTTTGAGTTGGTTGATGTAAAGGGAATATATTGGCGATATTGGTGATATATTGGGTACTGGGGATAGATACACAAGGAGTATAATGGAGTGTAGACCAATTAAAGAAGGTATAGGATGTTTGGAGGTTTGTCCAGAAGTGGAGCATGCTCCAATTTATGGATGAAACATTGGGAACATCGCGGACCAACCATCAAATCTAAGGGGGTATCCCATGGTATCAGACACGGCTAAAGCGCTAAAGCAACGAGGATTTATGTTTGACATATTGAATTATAGTTACATGATGTTACATGGATATCCAACATGATCAGTTGGCTACAAGAGTCCTGGTTTTAGGAGTGTTGTTCTGTTCCGTCTTCAACCCGTATTTTTGTTACTGAAGTCAGCTCATTGGGGTGGTGCCCCCACAGTTACGTCTGCCGGTCTACCCTCTGGTAAACTAACATAACTGCGGAAAATTACCTTTTTAATACGTAAATCATTTATAAATGGACCATTTTCAATAGCCATGTAACAAATTGCCTGAGGGTATACATGTTACCCGAATGAATGCTTTCCATTAATATCTGATATCTGCCATAAACCCAACAAATTAATCGCAGCCATGCCAACTCTGACGGCGTGAAGCCCCATTTGTTTCTAGCGAATGGGGCACCACCCAAGAATCATATCATTTTGATCCAAGAGTTATTGGAGATAGAACCAACTTTGCTGACATAATTCACCCATAAATCCCATAAATCCAAATTCTTGGTGGAAATCAGAATTGTCCATCATTTTTCTCGGTGAAATCCTCATTCCTTGCTGGTTTTCATGATGTACCCAGCATCTTCCCATGCTCGGCTCCGAGCATGGCCACGGCAGGTGGGAGGTAGCATCAAGGAGTGCTTGGAGCAAAATGCCAAGCTCTCTGCGCGCATCGACGATCTCTGTGATGCTTTGGTCAAGGAGGTCCGATGGATCCAGGGAAGTGGTTGA